CCCCCCCAATTTTGGTTAATAAGATTTTTGGGGGTGTATTTCTAGTTGTAACAACCAACAGATAATTGCGTTTTACAACCTAAATTTGCAATTTTATAACCACATTTGTAATGACAAAACTCTATCGAGGCCTAGTTGTGATATAATGAGGAGCTGGAAACAGCCTCGGGTCTTTGTCATCCTTATATTGTTATGTCGGTCGATACTTTATCAGTTTGTATCTTATTATTGTGTGTGATTCGTTATGCAATCAACAAATAACTGTATTGGATGAGATACGGATTTCATTATCACACACACACTAATAGAATATCCAGACTTTGGAGAGACCTGAAAGAAATATTTTAAATGTACTAACTTAAAAAACGTATTGATTTTCATCGTGATCTCAACAGGATTCTCGATTTGATAAAGAACAGTGCTCTTTATTCAAAATGTTGATAATACGCCTACAATTTATTTTCAGTATTGTTAATTTATTTTTGTTTTTAACTATTAAGTTCACAGGGTCTACCATGGATTTTAAATTTAAACAGTAAAGTAAAAACCAAGCCGTTCTGTGAACTTACTTGAAAACAACCTTGTGCCCCGTGTGTTCATGTCTCAATGAAGTTGCGAGCACAATCAAACTCTTGTACCAAACCAAACCAAACCAAAAAGAGTTAATTATTTACAGTTGAGGATTCATGCCTTGTCTGGACAGGGAAAGCAATAATATAATTGCGTTTGAATGACTGCCTAGCCACGTCGGCGCACAAAGAAACAAGCAGGTCAGTCTTCTGGCTATTGTGAAAAACGAAGAACGCCCGCCCAAAGACATTAAAAATAAGGTCAATATAAAACTATGTCTCAAGTCTAGGGGAGGAACAGTGGAGCGAACAAGTGAGTACTAAACTCCATGATATAATGCCTAAGCTGGATGTATACGAAAACCTTCGGATCTCTCTAAAAAAGATGAATGGTGGAGTCTTACACTTAGCCGTCGATTTGCAGTTCTAGATACCTCAAATAACCTAACAGCTCAGTGGCATCATACTGGATTACCCTGGTGATGGACTTGATTCAAATACCCATGGTGGTGGTTCTTGGACATGGATTGTTTGGAGGTTTCCAAGACTCTCCATTCATTTCCACACCGCTCTGTCCTGTTAGAGGTGGACGTGACCTTAACATAACTTTCCAGTCATCTAAAAGGGTGCCAACCCCAGGTCATAATGCACAATGACACCAATATATTCACCACATGTGGTTATGAATTATATGACAAGTGCCAAATAATAATAATAATAATAATAATAACAATAGTGATGATGGGGCTCCTGTCCATACCTGGGAAAGTCTTCAAAAGGATACTCCTGGAGAGAATCAAGCTGGTAACAGATCAGAAGCTTCGAGGAAACCAGGTAGGATTCCGCAAAAACCGATCATGTGTGGACCAGATCGCAACTCTGCGCGTCATTGTTGAGCAATCGCTTGAATGGAATTCACCACTTCATTGACTATGAAAAGGCGTTTGACAGCGTGGACAGGGAAACTCTGTGGAAACTCCTGCATCATTTTGGAATACCTGAGAAAATCGTCAAGCTTGTGAAGGCCACCTATGATGGAATAAACTGCCAAGTCTTCCACGAAGGACAACTTTCAGAACCATTCCAGGTACAGACAGGAGTGCGACAAGGATGCTTGCTCTCACCTTTTCAATTCATACTTGCTATTGACTGGGTCATGAAAGAAGCCACCAGAGGCAAACGTAATGGAATACAATGGATCCCTTGGCAGCAACTGGACGACTTGGACTTCGCCGATGACCTTGCACTGCTCTCTCACACACATGCTCAGATGCAAGAAAAGACCAAGGAACTCAACAGCCTATCAAGGAGTGTTGGCCTACGTATACATCCAGGCAAGTCAAAAGTAGTGAAACTAGGAAAAGTTTCAAGCCCTGCTGTGACAGTGGAAAGACACTCCCCTGGAAGAACTGGACTCCATTACCAACCTTGGAAGTGTCATCGATGGTAAAGGTGGAACCGAGGCAGATGTTAAAGCAAGAACCGCCAAGGCAAGGTCAGCATTCAATCAACTATCAAAAGTCTGGAAAGCAAGCAACATCTCACTGCGCACCAAGATTCGACTCTTTAACTCCAACGTCACGTCTGTGCTCCTCTACGGCTGCGAAACTTAGAAGACAACGAAGACAGTACTGAATAAAGTCCAGACTTTCATCAACAGATGTATGAGGAGTATTCTAAGAATTAAGTGGCAGGATAAAATAAGAAATGAAGAGCTGTGGGAAAGGACAGGACAAAAGGATATAGAAGTAGAAATAGGACTAAGAAAGTGGCGATGGATGGGACACACCTTAAGGAAGCCCAGAGGAAACATCACAAGACAGTCACTGCAGTGGAACCCACAAGGAGCAGGAGGCAGGGGTAGGCCACCGGAAACATGGAGGAGATGCGTAGAAAGGGACATGAGAGAAATGAAGCTCACTTGGAACGAGCTAGGAAGGATGGCTCAGGACAGAGATAAATGGAAGGAGCTTGTATGTGGCCTATACCCTGCTAGGGGTGAAAGGCATTGATGATGATGATGATGGGGCTCTCGTGGTCTAGAGGTACAATGTTCGCCTCTAATTCGATAGGTCTTGGATTCGAAACCCGACAGCCAAGGAAATATTTCTTTCTTTAAAATGTTTTCCTTTCACCTCCTTTCCTGTCCTCTAGACATGTTCTGTCATCTGCTTTCATCTCAAAGTGTTCAAATATTAACAAATTGACAAGAACTTTTGCTGTCTAAAGGCGGGTACCCTTTCACACCTGAGAAAAGTGAGGACAATTAGCGTAAAGTGCCTTTCCTAAGGACACAACGTTGGGTCCCTGATGAGGTTCAAACTCACGACTTTTCTGTTTTGATCCCGACTTACTCTGTTCCTTACAGGACTGGTGGTCTGTCTTGTTTCACTTTATCAGTGACAGTTGTGTCAGTGAGGGCAAGTCCCAATAAAATCACATCCTTCGAGACAGCAAGCATGATACCCACAGTGAAAAAAGTAAGAGATAATTCTAAAGTCTTTTTTTTTTTTCAAAAACTTGTCAACTCATACAATAATAATAATAATAATAATAATAATAATAATAATAATAAATAGCATTTGTATAGCGCATATCCCCTCTCAACAGCAGGCTCTATGCGCTTTACACTATATTATTACCCCCAGCAGACCACAGAACACTCCGAAAGATTCTCAGCTTCCTGGGAAGCATACAGTGCAAGCAGCTGAGTAAGCGCTCAAACACTAACAAGATCTTTCGCTGTCTATAGCCGGGTACCCATTCCCACCTGGGTGAAGTGAGAAAAAGTCGTGTAAAGTGCCTTTCCCAAGGACACAACGTCGGGCCCCTGACGGAATTCGAACCCATGACCTTACGGTTGCGAGTCCGAGAGCCTAACCACTAGGCCACCGACGCCATACTATCACATCCTCTCATAGACAGCAAGCAACATGGACAAAATAATTAAAAAATACAAAGTTTATAAAACCTTGTCAATTGTTTATTTTAAACTGAAATAGATTGCACAATATTTCAACATCTTGAGACAACTTTATAACACTACTTCCAAAATACCATTGAAGAGGACACCACTACAACTACTACTGACCTATTGGTAACAATTCCATGGCTTATCTACAACTTTTAGTGTCTTTCATTGCTGTCTGAAAGTTCAGTAAATTCACTCAATGATTCATATATACAAACAAAACAAAGTTATGAAAGAAATGATCCCAGGAAGCCCTTTGACTTTGACTAATTGATCTCAACTCAACACTTAAATAAGTACAAAGTACTATGTTACCAGTATATGTACAGTTTTGTCATTTTTCAACCCTCTTTTCAAAGCCTTTCATGGCATTACTCTTTGTTTTCATGGGTGGTACACCCTGAGATTCTGAAACAACATCTATTACTTTTAAAAAATATAAATTTTATGTTGGACTAATGCATATTAAGTAAAAGAAACACATCATTATGATAGTGAGTAGGCCTACCAGTAAACCTGCAACAATTTTTTGCACATAATTTTAATCAAATATCCCCATCTGTCTGTAATATCTGCAGGACACAAATGCAAAACACACAAACTTACAGAAAACATTTACAAATCACATGCTTTTTTTCCCAAAAGAAAGAAATAGCATCTATCTACAGTTTCTCAGTATTTTTTTTTTCGTTTTTTAAATTTTGTTTTCGCTCTTGATGATAACATTGACAACTCATGATTTGCGATGTCATAAACGGACACTTTCAGTAATGACATCAGGGACTGGCTTAGTCTTCCTCTTCACTGACAGCCTTCGGAGTACATTCCCCCTACGGATTTCGTTGACCAGATTATCCACTATCTTTGAATCCCCGGGTCCTGCAAGGCCTGGCAGTTTTCGCGCTCCTGGGACCACCACTGGGTCTCTGTGGATACCTGGAGACCACAGGGACAAATAAGTCACACAATAAGAAGAAAGGGAAAACTGACTGGATTTGCATCTTATTTAATTTGAATTACAAAGCCAAGAAAAGCTGATGTAAGTCACTTAATAATAAGTTGAGATATGAAAAGAAAAGTATACCAGTCTTGCATGCACATAGCGAAATCAGCGAGATGCGGAAATCATTTTGTTAAGTATGAATTTTGCATTGTTAATCCAAAAAAATCAGTAAAACAATGAAAACAAAAGAACAAAAATCCCCAAACATTTTCTTTTTTTTTGGGGGGTCTTTTTTAGTTTTTGTTGAAGTTTTACGGCGCTCGCAACTGTATAAGGTCATTTGAGCGCCAGATGATTAGAGGTTTTACAAGAGAGTAACAAACATAAAAAAGAAGAAGGGGAGACAAGGACGACAGATGTTTGACAGGAAAGTAGGAGCAAACCACACCAAAGCACCCGCCAACCACCCACTTTTGTCTTTGTAAGAAAACTATCAATAGGCTGAAATGCTTTCCTTTCTAAACTGAATCTTGTAAAACTTAATGATATGCGTTACTTGAGGCACGCTAACAATACCTAACAACAATGTCAGCAATGCGCACTGGTTATAGCTCAAATTACAAATACTGTAAAGAGATAGATGACAAAAATCTTTCAAAAGGCGAAATTTGCAGCAAGCATGGTATGAGTAATTCTCTTTAAACAAAAACCATGGGAAAACCGAAGAAAATCTAGCGGTCCGGCGGATTTCGATAAAACTTAAAGTGGACTCCACCAGATAGAAAATGAAAATATCAGTAAATCATAATAATATAGTAGAGGCTCTGTTAAGTGATTTGAGGGTTTGAAAATTGAATTAGAATACAAAAGGCAATATTCTATGTCTACTGATCTGTTTTCTTACGTAACAATTATTATTATGACAAATCCGAAGAAAATAGATAAATACTTGATTACTAACTGAAAACACAGGTTCTATCACTGGTCTAGTCACTAGTCAGGATGCATCCTGAAAGAACTCGGTCTAATCTTTCTTTTCTTCTGTTTCTCTATCTCTTCCTCTCCCTACACTTTCATCACTTAGAGTTTCTCTTTCTCTCTATCTATCCTGTCTGTCTCTCTTCCTATATTCTCTTCTCTCTGTCTCTGTCTCTGTCTCTCTCTTTCTCTCTCTCTCTCTCTCTCTCTCTCTCTCTCCCTCCCTCCCTGAAGAGCCCAACAAAAATTAATAAAGTTCAATTCAATTATTTATCTCTCTTCCCATGCATGACATCCATTTGGGTACACAACAGCTCCAGCCACTTCTAACACACACAGAAGAGGTTACTATACTGCAGCTCACCACTTTTCCTCTTCTCCAAAAGCTCCTCATGTGCTTTCTTCCTCATCTCTGCCTTCTCAGCCTGCTGTCGTCTTGTCTCAAGCTCCTGTGGATATAGACAGTCATTGAGGTTTGAGATAGTATAAAAAGAAATTTAGAGAGGGTTAAAAGCAGGAAAAAACAAAGTATCTACCTTTATTGTCCAGGTATGGGTATATTTCTATGGTGAACGGTAATGGAGAATTTCTCTGTCTCTGTCTCTTTCTTTGTTCCTGAATCTCTCCAACACTCTGTCACTCTAATTCACATATATTCACAAGAATGCTTGAACACATACTTAACTACACACACACACACACACACACACACACACACACACACACACACAAATACAGACATTCATACAACAAACACACATATTACATTCACAAATGTATCTGCAGAAAGTACAAAATAACAGACACATGTAAACAATGTACTCTCTCCCTCCCTAATTCTCTCTCTCTCTCTCTCTCTCTCTCTCTCTCTCTCTCTCTCTCTCTCTCTATCTCTCTCTCTCTCTTTCTCTCTCTCTCTCTCTCATCCACAAATAAACACAAACACAGACACGTGAGCCAAAGTACACTCTCATTCACACACATACATGCAGACCAAAAATAAAAGGATAAGCTTGCTTTTATACAATGTAAATTAATGCCGTCAAATTCACAGACATTGATGACAAAAGGGCAAAACTGTACTTTGTGGTTACAATACCCTGTTGTTTTCTTCACATAAGGATTTATGGTGTTTTTCAGAAACGAAAAAAAAACATCTGATGATTATTATCAAAAGCTATGAAATTTGGTGAAAAAATGTAATTATTGTGTTTTTAATGGATCCTACAATTTGAATTTGGTACATGAGGTGGTTTTTGACATATAGAATTTAAGACAAATTAATTCTTGACAGATTAAAAAAGTTATAGACAATACAAAAAATGCAATGAAATGTCTTTATAAAAAATGACAAAAAGAAAGACTACATTTTAAAAGACATGGTCTAAAGGTATGGCGTTCACCTCTCATTCAGTTCGAAATTTGAAACCTGACAGTGACGGGACAATTTGCTTTTCTAAAATTTTCTCCTTTCACCTCCTTAATCCTGTTCTCTAGACATTTTCTGTCATTTGCTTTCATCTCCACTGGAATAAAACAACACAAAAACATTGAAAACTATGCACTTTTTATCAAAGACATATTCACCTGTTGGCAAGCCTTCACCCTATCACAAAACTCCATGAAAGCTGCCAGGAACTCCTCAAGGTTAAAGCTGTTCTCATTTTCACAGTAATGCTGGGCCAGGCGACTCTTCTGCTTTGACAGACGCTCCAATGACTCATCCACATCCGACAAATCACCGTCAGCCTCCTGAAGAAGTGAATGTTAGTTTGGTTTATAAATAAATCTGTTTATTCAACAATTTATTTAACAAATAAACGAGTGAATGACTTTACTTTGTATTATGTTTGCAGCTGAGGCTAGTCTATTACTTGAAGTCCCTGTGTCTGTGGTGTAATGGTCAAGCACTTCATCTGAAATACAAAAGACATGAGTTCTATCTGTCCTACAGTAGGGAAGACATAGTTATGAAGTAACTCTGTCTTAACCCTTGAGCAGTTAACCTATATTTATGTATCCTTAGCCTGAAAGAGTGAAATCAGAGGAACTAAGGTAGATCTACCTTAAATAGAGCAAGGAATTTTTGTTTGAAACAAACATTTTAATGCAAGATTTTAATATAGATCTCAGTGAGAAGGAGAGCTTTCGACTTTAAGAGTGAAAGACTAAAAAAAATTTACCTCAAGAAAATCTCCAAACTGTTTCTTGATTTCTTCATCTGTGTTGTTGGCCATCTGGTTCTGCAGTTTTTTCACTGTGGCTTTCAGAGCTTTGAACTCATTTTTTACTTGCTCCACCGAGAACCTGCATTCATAAAGACAGTAGAAACCTTGTTACACAATACAGTACACTTTGGCATACATACACTCCAGATTTTAAGAACTCCCGAAAACCCACCCCCCTCAGTAATTTACGTTACAAACAGTATTTGCCAAATCTGGGACTATTCATTAGTTAGAATAGTGATACACACAATACACTACAAAATAAGTAAGCAGGCACTTTTTCTACAGATGATTGCGGTCATAATGTACTGGTTAACACTCTATGTCCTCTGCAAAAATATCACAGATGTTTTGTCGACATGATACTGAACAACATCTATACACATAAAATGAGAAAGAAGTAGAAAAAGTCTCCATACAACTACACGCTCTTGTAAAAGCTGCAAGTATAACTGAGATTGTAAATATCACAATAAAAAATGAGAGTTTATTTTATGTTTCAAAAAGTAAGCGTCTCGTTCCATCATTCTTTTTTTATTTACCTGCATCACAAGCATTAAGATAAAGCCAATAATGTTTATGAATTTACAGGTGCCGTCATATCATCATCATCAATGCCTTTCTCACCCTACATCAGGTTACAGGCTACTAAACAAACAATTTTCACCTTTCCCTTTCTTGGCCTAGCTTATTAATACTTCTTTACTACTTACTTACTTACTCTCTCTCCCTATATTATCATCAGGTACATAAGGCAGAGAGCAGTTGACGCCCCACTTGCCTGTCCCTGGCCATGTCATCCAATTTTGGCAAATCAAGGACCTGGGTGATTGCCTCATCCCTTATTGTGCATCTATAGCTTCCAGATGGTCTTCCTCGTGTTCTTTTTCCAGTTGGTTTCCAATACCATGTCTGAAGGGGCATTCTTGTCTTCCTCATTCTTAGTACATGTCCTAGATATCTCCATCTTCTCCTTTTTTTGGTTGTGTTGATATCTTCAATTCCAGCAGTTTCCTACACTTCATTATCTAATACTTTTTTACGAGGGCTGTAAATCAACTCCCTCAAAAAAAGAAACATAAAAACCCCCAAAACACGCAGAACTCACCTTGCTACTTTATGCAGATCCTCCTGTAGGTCCTCCACAAAGTTTAGCACTTCCTTGTCCTTCTTCTCCGTCTGTTCCACCAGCACGTGCAGCAGTGACACCTTGGGGTCATTCGACTTAGTCAGGACCAGTTTGTTGAGGGAGCTGATTCGGAAACCTATAGCATTTCCTGCACTGCTTCCCTAAAACAAGTAAATAAAGGTTCTGTAAAAAAAATGCAATTAAATATCTACTAATTTACATGTGTATTTCTTCTTTTTTTTGAACAATTGTTATAAAGTGTGGCTACAAAGTAGGCTCCACAAAAATAATAAGAAAAATTGGTCTCATTAGCCAAAGTAGGAACAAAGACATCTAAATCCTATGTCTATTATTCCATGTAAGTTTAAGCAATGTTTTCCTCTGTAGATGTGTTGGTTATCATTAGATCAAGACATTGATGGAAAAACTATTATCATTATAATTAAGTATGCTCTAGCCCTTTGTAATTTTTTAGCACAGAACAAAGCACAGGCTATATAATAATATACACATTTCCGCAGAAATATAAAGTCAAAAACCATTTCAATTCAAGTTACTTCACATAAAAACAAAGCAAGGAAACACATATATATGGAAAACAAGTAATACTTAGACAAGACATAACCTATAGGAATACACTTTTAAGACTTAATTAGAATGAGAAAATAATATATATGTATAAGGGGCATTCAAAAAGTCTTTCAGAATATTTAGGAATTGTTGTAAAAAGATGAAACTTGCAGAATGTGATTTTTATCTTTCTGGAACACTGCATGTCATTATCATCATTGTCTTTCCCACCCGGGGTCAGGGTATAGGCCACAAACAAACACTTTCCACCTTTCCCTACCTTGGGTTAGCCTCTTAATGTTATTCCAGCTGCATGTAGAGATTTGAAAAATTCTGATGAGCCTTTAGAACTTGAGAGTACTTTCATGAAGAAAGAACTTAAATATGATGGAAGCTGTGAAAAAAAATTATCCTACTGCACAACAATGCTTTAGTGCACAGAGAGGTGAAGGCTGCTCTCACAGCAAAGCAGTGGGGCCATGAAATTCTCCCCCCCCCCCCATCCATCCTTTTTCACCATTTGACTATTTTCCTTTCTTCAAATCTGAAAAAAATATTCACATTGGGACAACATTTCCATAGAGTGATGAAGACGCTATATCTGCAGTGGATGAATGGTTTCAGTCTCATCAGAGGTCATACTATGCTGACGGACTTTTTAATGTCATTCAAAACTAGCCAAAATTTGCAGATTGGCTTTGTGGAGAGGTAGCATTGTGGGTGTCATATAATACATTTTTCGCTCACTTCTTTCAAAGTAGGGTAAAGCCTTACTGAATGTCCCTCGTAAATATGAAATATATCGATTTTATATTCTAGAGCACATGCAACCTGATCCAAAATGGAAAATGTCTCACCTTATTGATAAAGTTTCCAGTGTGCAAGACAAATCTAAGAAACTTTTTCAGGGATTTATTGTCATGAAGACTTCGGCACACGCTGGTCAAAAGGAGCAAACTTGACCTCACATTCGACAACTGGCTGTGAAAGTCAGACTGAAATGAACAAAGAATAACAATGAGTAAACAAAGACCAGAATTGACAAAAACAACAATAATAATAAACAAAAAGAATAGTAGACCTATTTATACAGTGCATAATATATTCCTATTTAAAAGAAGGCTCACTGCTCTAAAAACTTAGATTAACACTGGCGAACCCTTCAAAATTTCCAAATGTTTAGAGCTTTCTTGACCCTGATACTAAACATCCCTTGCAGGGAGCTGAGGAACCATGAAATTGTAACTGAAGATTTTTAATGCCTTATTGCGATACTTTAAATATTTTAAGGTGGACTATTCACCATGCCTATAGGCTATGGGCTAATCTGGGCGGAGAGGGATCCAAAGTTCCAGCAGACGAAGATACTAAATAAAACTAAATAAAAAAACCCTTCCCCAACACTGAAACTGTGTGTGACAACAAATTGCCTAACTGCTAAACCAAAGACACTGTTTGGGATGTGGTGAATCATGCATGAATAGTTTTTCCATGACCCAGTGTCCTACTGCAGAGGGGAGAAGCCTTGTTGAACCCTTGTGGCCTATACAACAAAACTCATATAACAGAGTCATCAAGCTGAACTTTGGTTTAGTTGATGAATCCGAGTGTTCGCTACAGTAATGTGAACACCAAGTGACATAAAAAAAATGTGCTTAGCATACGGCAACGTTTGTTTCCACAGACCGGCCCGCAATTCATTATATCTATGCCTAGACTAGCCTTTCATTATCTAGTAGCCAGGGGGAGGGGGTGTGTGATTGTGGCCCGTAGGTATCTCAGCCGACTTTCCATACACAAAATGCTTGAGATTGGTTATTTTCATCAAATCTATCTAATCATGACCAAGCAAATAAAAGATGTATGATTTTAAAGGATGTAGTCAAACTGAATTAAAATGGGTAGCTTTTGCCCCTCCATAATGGGAAACCTGACAGTCCTAAAATTTACCAAACTATAGGCCTATCAAATGAAAATTTTACAAACTTGGAGTCACTGGATAAAAGATATTTATAGCACTAGAGGCCCCCACACCTTCAAGACCAGCAAGCATATTTCATGTTGAAGTACCCATACGCAGAACATCTGTAGGTATAAAGAGAACAAATATAACATCTACTGCTTTTTTAACTTTGGTTAGATCCACTTTAAACCAACCTTCAAGAGCATAAGTTCCAATCTTAGCTGATAGGAAGGAACTCGTATCAGCTGCAAGAAAAATTTTTCTGCATTCCCGAGCTTTTCCGCATCTCCGTCATAGCTTTGGATGAGCTCAACCTGTGCAAATAATAGATAATAATAGATAGCATTTGTATAGCACAAATTTCCCCACAATTGCAAGTTCTTTGTGCTATACAATCTATATCATTACCACAGCAGACCTAATAGCATTCTGAAACAATCTCAACTTCCTAGGAAGCATACAGTGCAAGCTGCCCTTATAAAGGCACTAAAACACAAACATACAGACAAGATCTTTCACTGCCTATGGCTGGGTACACATTCATACCTGGGTGGAGTGAAGAAAATATGAGTAGGCTAAAGCACCTTTCCCAAGGACAACAACGTCGGGCCTAAGGCTTGAACTCCCTAACCCACAACTTCATGATTATGAGTCCAGTAGCCGAATTAAAGGCAGGACAGTGTTAAACCAATCAAACTTACATTTTAAATGTCTACATAAAATGCACAATACCCTGGTTCAAATTGCAAACAGGACATTTTCGAACTATGGTTGCTTGGGTTTCAAAACTTTCCATCCATATGTGTTGTAATATCAGAGAAGGATAATAATTCCGAGGTCCTACCTATATCAAGTGATGCCACAGTGCAATGTTTGTGTATGTATGCATGTGTTTGTGTGTGTATGTGTGTGTGATTGTGTGTGTGGGTGTGTGCAAGTGTGTGCGTGTGTGTGTGTGTGTGTGTGTGTGTGTGTACTTGATTTTGAGTGTGTGTATTTGAGTGGGTATTTGGATGTGAGTGTGTGAGAGTGAGTGAGCGAGTGAGTGTGTGTGTGTGTGTGTGTAAGTGTGTGTGTATGTGTGTGTGTGTGTACTTGGTTTTGAGTGTGTGTACTGTGTGTGTATTTGGATGTGAGCGTGTGAGAGTGAATGAGCGTGTGAGTGTGTGTGTGTGTGTGCGTGTGTACTTTGTTTTGAGTGTATGTATTTGTGTGTGTATTTGGATGTGAGTGTGTGAGAGTGAGTGAGCGAGTGAGTGTGTGTGCGTGCGTGTGTGTGTGTGTGTGTTGGTGCGTGTGTATTTGTGTGAGAGAGAGAGTGTGTGAGAGTGAGTGTGTGTGTGTGTATTTGTGTGTGTATTTCTGTGTGAGAGTGAGAGTGTGAGAGTGAATGTGTGAGAGTGAATGTGTGTGTGTGTGTGTGTGTATATTTGTGTGTGTGTATTTGTGTGTGAGAGTGAGAGAGTGAGTGAGTGAGCGTGTGTGTGTGTATGTGAGTGTGTGCGAGTGTCTGTGTGTGTGTGTGTGTGTGTAGTTATGCACGTTGTGAAAGAGGTAAACAAAATGATAAAAGGCTGCAAAAAGGCCACTGAATTGCCTCGAACAAACACATGTCGTCCCACTCACCTCATCCACTGGAGGTAAGATCTTGATAAGCCCCTTTAGCTTTTCCACTCCAATGCTTCTTGCTTCACCCTTTCTGATCAAGTCGACAATAGCCGCGTTGTTCTTTCTGAACTGTTTAAGGTAGATGTTGACATTCATGCTGCGCTTTGGGTCAAGTAAACTGATCTGTGGGAGGAAAAGTGAATTAACTGGTTAGTTAGTTAGGAGAATGGTATAGAAACTGCTCACATCATGCATCAAGTTTTCATCTTGTCATGCCATGTTACTGGAGGGAATATTGAAACATTGATCTCTTCCAGATCCCTTTTCCAGTAACAGAGAAACCTGAAAAAACGCAGGAGCTATGGGATAAAGAATATCCAAACAGCAGGAACTCAGCATAACAGTTAAAAACAATATCATCTTTCTCCAAATAAAGAATAACAATTATATATAAATAAAGACAAATTAAATAACTTATGACAATTATCTGTTTATAGTCATGAAGGTTGTGCATCGAATTCTTGTCATATTTTTCTTTTTTCCACCTTCATTTTGCCCTTTTCGTTTTACACTAGGGGCGGGCAGGAGACGAGCCGAGTACTCGTTTCTCGCGAGAAATGCCCTTCCTGTCACTGCCAAGGCACTAAACTACTGCCCGGTACCGAGAAGTGATACTGCTCGTTGGCTTGACATAACGAGTAACAGTAACGAGAGTTAGAGAGTGAGAGGCGAGAAATGACAACGACGCCACCCATCACCGTGCCGTCCTGTGTGTGAAACTCAAAGGGAGGGGGGAAGGTGGCGAGACGAGGCGAGTGGGGAGTTGATCAGGGCCTAGGCCTAGATCTTCCAACCTTCCTTCAGCGCCTGCACCTGCGCAACAGGGCTAGCCTAGTTTAGATCCCCGCCACGACCAGCCTTCTCGCTAAACAAGTTGCTCGTACTGTGGGGCGAGAAGAGAAATCTCGGCCACGGCCGGCCCCTCTCGCTGAGCGGGTGGCTCGAACTGCGGGGCGAGAAGAGAAATTGGTCATGAGACGAGAAGCATTTCCCGTTAACGAGACGGGAAGTATTTCTAGGTACCGGGACCAGTCCCGGCGAGAAGTAGGGCAGCTTCTCGGTCTTCTCGCTCGGGAACGAAAAAGTGCTTTCCGCCCGTCTCTATTTTACACCAATATTTTGAACTCCGATTTGAGCTGCCCAATGTCATGTGTTCCACTGCAGTAGCGCCCCTTTTAACATTTACTCTAACTATGTGAAGTCACAAATTTGTTTAAATATCGTGAAAATCTGGAATTCAAGTTGCACGTAGAAAAAACCCAACAGTATACAGTATCATATTGCAGAGAGTAGCCTGTTATTGAAGGCTGAAGATAATGAAGGTTATCTTCTCCAAATGGGCCACCATTTTCTAGCATATTTACACAATCTACAAGCATCTGTAAGGTAATTTTTTTGCTATTCATCTTGAATGCAATGAACATGAGTCTGATTTCACAGTCAATAGAGAACTTCACCTTTTAATTTGCCTTCAATCCTGCTATCATACTTTACCTCAGATGAAGTTGCATGAATTTTTGCAACTCGCTCCTCCGTCTTTGGTTCTTCTTTGACTCTTTTCTGAGAAAACAATTCCTCTAGTTTGTCATATTCCACCTTGATCGAGTCGTCCATGGTATTGACATCACCCCAGATACTGGTTTCTATAGAAAGAAGGTAAAGAAAAAAAACTCTCAGTAAAAGATATGTGATATCTATAATTTGTCTTCTTCAGTGATACTCATCAGTGGTCTGCTTGGTACAATGTAAGACCCGAGCACTATAGGTGGAAAACAATCATTCCCGTGGCTATAACTCATGTACCAGTCTCAAATAACTGTAGAACAATAATAACAATAACACAGACAATAATAATGCCAACAAATATTTTTTCTCTGTCATTTGCACTACATATAGACTTACTTTTCACTTGCAGGGCAGGCACTTTGTTCCAGGTAAAATGTTTCATTTTGCAGTTTGGATCTGGAGTTTTGATGGGCTCAACGCAAGGTACAGCAGGGGGTGGGGGGACTCCAAGACCCATTGGTATGCCACCGCCTGGGGCAGGTGGCGGG